AAAATCATGATGACATCGAAATGACAAGAAAAGGACCGAATCATGATGAGAAAAAGAGTTTTTCTCATCATTTTGATATATTTTGATGTCATCGTTATTTTCTGTTCTACCTGAGCAGTGTCAGCAACATATTCTTCGTTGTCGGACATTTTGCCAAATCAGATCGAAACGTGCGTGAAAACGTGTACATGTGCCTAAATAATTTTTCTTATTGGCTTATCTTATTTATTACTGAGAGAAATCGGCCTTAAGCTTTAATTCCTAACTTCAAAAGTTTGGATCTACCCAACTTTACTGCCAGCGCTGAAAATTTATAGTTTACGTGACACAAACTATAAATTTTCATAAACTATATATTTTCAGTATTGGCAGTGAATATCAGAACATAGCCTATATTGTTGTCTATGTTATTGCATTTTGAATAAGGTAAGTTTTGGAAACATCCCAGTTAGTTATACACATTGTTCGAGCGTATACTCTTAAATAATTTTGTTACAGAAGTTGGTTAATATGGCCAATATAGTAAATATTATTGGTGCTGATATGCTTACTGAAGCAGAAAGACATGTACAAAGAAATGGGAGACATTTCCGAACCCGAGAAGTTCCATTTGAACTTCTAGAAAACCAATTCATAAAATTATTTCGATTAACTAGAAGACAGGCTGACAATATTATTGATATCGTAGAGCAATACCATCATCCAAAAAGATCTTCAGCATTAGATGCATCTATGGAAGTAAGTTACTTGCTTCCATATCTATCAATATTATATCTGCTTTTTGTATCCATCTCTATTAATCGTCATGTGGAGAAAAATTCCCGCTCTTGTTATTGCTTTTTCTCTATTAGTTAAGAGTCTCCTGACAGTAACGACAACACCGCTCTCGAGTCGCATGCGATAATTGTCACAGGTGACAATTGTCGCATGCGACATATCTCGTACGCTTTTAAGTAATATGTTCTTTTTAGCCGCACTACTGAACTGGTGCAATAAGTTAAAGTGAGAAAAAATATGGTAATTATTCAGTTTAGCCACATCATCACCGATTTTGATGAAACTAGGCTCATTCAACGCGTTTTTACAAAACAAACAATTTTTCCCTGTAGCAAAATCGTCGCTCTGCCTTCCGAAGCGAGATATTAAGCGTTAAAGCAGATAACAGTTTAAGTTATGAATCCTGTCAGATGGATTGAATGTAACGACACGAACAAACTGCACGAAGTATATGAGCATCACCACACACACACACACACATCGAAGGGGGTGCGGGGGGGCCTTCGACCTCCCCACCCGTACCCCTCCTCGATGGGTGGAACTCGCGTCCGTGGAAAGTCGCAAACTCACATGTGACACAAAGTCATATTGTTCTAGGTAATTATTTAGAAGACGGGCCTCACCTTGGATTTCGCTCAAACTCACCTATCTTGTGTATTTTGACGTGTAGAAGCCGAATCTGCAAGTAAAAATGGTCGCTCGGCTCTAGTTTGCGAGAAATAAACAGTTAAAAAGTGACACATGCGAGGTTAGGAAATCTGTCATGTCGGTAATACAGAGACTTATGGTCTGTTCTTTTTAGTCGAAAAGTGTAAAATAGTACATGCTGGGAAGGGGCGAAGCCCTCTCCTCAAAGACATTTTCATATATTAAACATATGAATTTTTAGCTCATGTATCAGTGGTTATTACACAACAAAAATAACCATTGATACATGAGCTAAAAATTCATATGTTTAATATATGAAAATGGCTCAAAATATGTATACATGCAGTACCAACATATGTACACATACGCACGGGAGGTGCAAGGGGGCGCCTTCGGCCCCCCTTCCGCACCCTCCCCGTCCTCGTTACACGTGGAAAGTTGCTATAACTTTCCACGTGTAACGAGGACGGGGAGGGTGCGGAAGGGGGGGCCGAAGGCGCCCCTTGCACCTCTCGTGTGTGTGTGTGTGTGTGTGTACATATGTGGTACTGCATGTATATACATGTTTGAGACTTTTTCATTTGTTACATATCCCCCTCCCGCATCTTCCTCGTTCTCGTTGCGCCTTGAAAGTTATATCCATAAGTCTCTGTATTACCGACATGACAGATTTCCTAACCTCGCATGTGTCACTTTTTAACTATTTATTTCTCGCAAACTAAAGCCGAGCGACCATTTTTAGATTTGCAGATTCGGCTTCTACACGTTAAAATACAAGATAGGTGAGTTTGAGCGAAATCCAAGGTGAGGCCCGTCTTCTAAATAATTACCTAGAACAATATGACTTTGTGTCACATGTGAGTTTGCGACTTTCCACGGACGCGAGTTCCACCCATCGAGGAGGGGTGCGGGTGGGGGGGTCGAAGGCCCCCCCGCACCCCCTTCGATGTGTGTGTGTGTGTGTGTGTGTGTGTGTGTGTGTGTGTGTGTGTGTGGTGTGCGTGCGTGTGTGTGTCTGTGGTGTGTGTCTGTGTGTGTGCGTGCGTGCGTGTGTGTGTGTGTGTGTGTGTGTGTGTGTGTGTGTGTGTGTGGTGATGCTCATATACTTCGTGCAGTTTGTTCGTGTTGTTACATTCAATCCATCTGACAGGATTCATAACTTAAACTGTTATCTGCTTTAACGCTTAATATCTCGCTTCGGAAGGCAGAGCGACGATTTGCTACAGAAAAAAATTGTTTGTTTTGCAAAAACGCGTTGAATGAGCCTAGTTTCATCAAAATCGGAGATGATGTGGCTAAACTGAATAATTACCAAAAATATAGTTGTCTCATTCTAACTTATTGCACTAGTTCCGCAGTGACCGCAGTGCAGCTGAAAAGAACAGACCAAATAATTGAGCCCCAGAGTTTTGTTGTCCACGTAGCATACAGAGAGGAGTGACACGTAGGAGTAAATAATTTACACATAAATGAATTCCGAGAATTACACGGTAGAACTAATATGTCAGAATATTGTGAAGGATCATCTTCAAGTGAACGCTTTAATACAAGTAAATATATGTATATATATGTGTGATTCTATGTCATAAACTATGAGATATAACCTCAATCTCAACTTTAGATTAACATCAATTCCGGAAAAAGAAGAAAAGAAGAAGAGAAAATTAACATCATGTTTTACAATAATAAATAGTAGGATCATGTTTACAATAATAAATAATATGTTAGGAATTATATTATAATGATAAGGCAAATAACAAATCACCATGTATTTTCTATGAAGGACATATAACAATGCACTGGGTTGTACAAAGCGTTAGACGAACTCAATGCTGAAGGTAGGACCAAAATTGCAGTGTTAGAATCCTCCATAGAGCGATTAGCGTCTGTCGCTGAAACCGAACCAAATGAGAAGAAGAAGACAGTTGTTTTCCATTGTTGAGATAAGGAGCAATTAAATGTGTTCTTGGCGGTCTTTCGCAAGGCTAATGTCATTAGCACTTGTGTCATAGATAAATTAGTTTGGGAGAATCTGCTCTCTCTACCAGAGGAGCGGCAAAATGCTCTTCGTAAACGATGAGACAAACAAAGTTTGACAGATTCTTCTAGCCAAATCACAGACAAATTATTCAGCATCGTAAGGCATCTAGCTGAGACAACTCAGAGAAGTGCTGATACATTGGACATATTGTGTACGTACTATATTTTTGAATCATTTCATAAAAATATGGAATTTATTAGATATCTATCATGCAGAATGAAGCAGTAACTATTATCTTATCTTGAATATCTTGAATATATGAGATATGAGAATAGAAAAATATTTAACAGAAAATATACTGAAACAATTGTCTTATAGTAGCAAAGTTTTATTTTCTAATAAACTAAGCTTTAAAAATCTAAATCCTTTATCGTTTTTTCCTAAATTATTTTTTAAATAAAATGTTTTAATGTAATAAAATTTATTAAAATGTTTTTTTGTATCATAACTGATTTTGAATCGTTCTTTATTATAGGTTGTTGTATTTCTTCTAATAACTGTTATCGAGAAATAAATTCAGAAACAGCATTCCATTAAAAAAAACAAAGATGACCTTCAAATCTTGGGAATCACCTGAAAAAAAGCGTTACCACCGCAAGGATTACTTCTGCACCATGTAATTTCTCTTTGTTAGATAAATTATTATTTATTATTATCGCCTCACTATATATTGTCTGTTTAAGAATAATTATTACGATTCTACCGATTTTGCTGTTTTGTTTCAGTAACATCCTCTGACAAAGTTGATAACACGAGAAACGAGCTGGAGCATCAACAGCAAGTGATAGTGCAATCGGGAAAGCTCTTAGGAAAATATGGTAAATGCGAAGTCACCGATAAAGTATTACTTGCACTGGCCTTCGCGTTCTTCCTCGCCTGCATGTTTTACATTTCACAAAAGAGACTGGTCTGAAAGCCCTTTGTATGTGATATTAATGAAATGGACTGATCATTTACGGTGATATCGCGACTGTAACATATTGCGCAGGAATTCTCACGATAAATGACATAGAAAATGTATGTACTATTTAAGAGGAGAAATCGGGTGACACGGGCTTTACAAGTATTTTAATGACTTTACGCGTGTGTAGATAAATTGCTCGTTAATCTCTGAAGGACGTTTTCATTCGGTCATCAAATCTTATTAAATAAACTCAACTGGTTGTATATAATGGTATCCTGTAAGAAGATAAAATATTTATTAAATTTCAAAATGTATACACGTTTCTACTATTCATTATCATTAAAATAACGATGTCGTATCGCGAGATGCTATGGAAACTAATTGCTCGTACATTTTTACAACCGTTTATGAATTCCTTCCTGGTGACTATTTCGTCTCTGTCTGCGTCCATCTTCTTGAAGAACTTGTCCACTTGGATGTTAACTGCGGGCTGGATGGTCTGCGCGTCTTGCACCATCTCATAAATCGCAAATATTATGACCAACATTTCTCGCTTCGTGATGCAACCGTCTCCATCAAGATCGTAGAATCTGATGAAAAGTAAATCCAGAGAGTATTTCGCATGTTATAATTCGAGATTATTGACTTCAATAAGTATTAGTGATCAAATATTTAATAAATATCCAATAATCAAGTAAAATTTCTATTGCGACTAATATTAACATTTTTAAATGTCACTTTTTAACTTTGAGTATTATTCCGAGGAAAAATGATTATATATGTAAATTTTCTCTGCACAGCCATCATTAAACAGCAAGAAAAAAGTACAAAGTGGTCAGTCTGTGCCCGAAGAAGTTACAGAAAATCAAACCGAACTTCTTAACTAACACGAAATAAAAATCTTTCAGGTTGCGCTCGAAAATGAACCTGGAATCAGACAATCCGTTACTAACAGCGATTACTGCTCACCCAAATATCCAAGAAAGCTGATCGACCATGCCGTTCACGATCGATGCTGTGGCATCCAGAAGATCGCTGAAGCTGACGAAACCGTCGCCGTCCTTATCGAAACTGTGGAAGACGATTTGCGTGTATCTGGTTGGGTCGCCCAATGGGAACAGTTTTTGGCGTATGCGGGTTTCAAATCGCCAGGCGTCACACTGTTTGCGCAGCATCTTCGCCGGCGGACCATATCGTCGTCAGTCCCGAAAAAACGGGACTCTTAGCTGAAAATATTTGAGCGAACGTTAATTCAGAACGCGATGTCGCGAACTTCTCGCGAAGAAATGAGAAAGAGATCTTTTCTTCTAAGTATTCTCTTGACGCGTGAAAAATTGGTCGCAAGTTTTGATACTTTTTTGTAATCTTTTCTCGTAAATTCTTGTAATATGTAACGATTACCGTGCGCGTGTTAGCTCGTTTCATGTAGTGAAAAGTAGAAATAAGAATTCTGAATAGTTTTGTAATACTAATATTTCTTTCGTAGTCATAACATAAAACTATGCAATGTGACTTAACCCTTTTCGTGTCTGACTTTTTTCTAGAAATAATTTGCGTCTAATTCACGTTTTACTAAAGTTTTAGAATTGCTGATTATGAATTTGTAGTCAAAATTTCAAAATTCAGAATAGTACCTATAGGTGTAAAAATATTTATATCAGAATACACAAGTCAATATTTGTCCCACCGATATATTTCATTTCTCACCTTTCGTTTCATGTAAATAATGATAATTACGAATATCGTGATGCTTATCTATGAATATATTTATATAATCAAATTACACAGTCTGTTTTGTCAAATATATGTTCATCTATATACACCCTTTCCCTTTTTAAATGCAAGAATTGAATTAAAATTTAGCAATATATAGGTCCAGGAGCCATTTAAAAACCCAACCAGCTACGTCGCCACACCATCTCGATCAGCTGATTGAGTGCAAGGCTTGCTGCGGATCTTGCTTGCCAATTTGCTCTCGTGTGCTCTTGTGCGCAAGTGTTCTCTACTTGGATGTTTGGTGCTTATTTGGTGCTAAGTTATGCGCTACAAAAACTTGCGCGGTTTTTACTGCAAATTTACTGCAAGTTGCCCCGCATCAAGCCTTGAACGTTCAAAACACAATCCTAAAAAGGACACAGTTGCATATAGTTTTGGCATCAAGTTTTGATCGAATTTGCTGCAAATTTGCGCTCAATTTGCACCATTTTGCTCATTGGGAATATACGTACATTTTTAATTATTTTAATATAATTTCTACTTAGAAATATGTATAATATGGTATGTAATAT